AGACAAACCTTTTTATTTTAAAGATCACATGCAGTCAATCCTGAAAAAAGTCATATGCCAGGGCTATAAATAATTTCAGGCTTCATTGTATGTTGCTAAACATGCCTTATTTGCATGTTTTTTGTTTATACGGAAAATGTGTTTTTGTGCTTAACTGGTGTGTTTAGTTGTAAAACCATCATCACAGGTTTTTCACCAAACACATACATATGTTGTTATTTCAATGACAAATGACTTAAGGGCAGTATTACAAGGCGGGAGGGCATTCATGCAATACGTGCATGTGATTTCCTCTGTTTGTGCACAAACCTTCCCACATTCTCAAATTTGCACTACTCACATGTGAACTGTCTGCTCTCGCTCAGTGAGATGAGGCGCACTCACAATTTGTCGTGTGTTCTCTCATCCTCTTGAGCATTTGCTCTCAAGATCCTCCTGTTACATTATTTATCCCAAAGAATGTTGATATAATTTATATATTGGTACACTAGTCATTGAAATAACGCCATAACCACAGGTCAGATATTCTGGAACAAAACGAGTGCTTCATTCATTCATTCATTTTCTTGTCGGCTTAGTCCCTTTATTAATCTGGGGTCGCCACAGTGGAATGAACCGCCAACTTATCTAGCAAGTTTTTACGTAGCGGATACCCTTCCAGCCACAACCCATCTCTGGGAAACATCCACACACACACACTCATATACTATGGACAATTTAGCCTACCCAATTCACCTGTACCACATGTCTTTGGACTGTGGGGGAAACCGGAGAACCCGGAGAAAACCCACGCGAACGCAGGGAGAACATGCAAACTCCACACAGAAACGTCAATTAAGCAGAGGCTGGAACCAGCGACCTTCTTTCTGTGAGGTGACAGCACTACCTACTGTGCCACTGCTTCATCAAAACGAGTGCTTATTAATTCTAAAAACGATTATTTTTGCCAATTATTATTTCAGTTCATTTTCATTAACGGTTACTAGTTTTTTTTATTTTTGTTCTCCATTTATTGTTCAGTTTTAAATGTATTTTAGTTAACAAAAATGTTTTTTTTTACCAATACTTTTAGTCTTTTATTTACTACAAATAACCTTGCTGTACACAATGCTGCTTAAATGTTTTGATTATGTGAGAAGACTGTAGAGCAATGCAACACATAAAACTAACACAGCTAAACTAGGCTACCGTTAATAATAGTTCAGTGTTGTTATGCAAAGTATCCAACTGCACTATTCAGTAAACCAATCTGAAAACAAAACAAAAAGCTTCTACAGAGCCATGCTATAAACAATCGTTCATTTAAAATAAGACTCGTTATGGTCAGAAAACATTTATCCAAATAGATCTGAACAGGCTGGTTGAGTGCAAAAAAAAAAAACTAAACAATCACAAAAGTGTAAACCTGCAAACAGTCACTAAAAATGTATAATTTGATTAATGAAAAGGAAATGGATCATTTCTCAGGCTACAAACTCAAGCATTATAGAATGTAGTTCCTATTTTAGCATAATTTTAGGTCTAGATAATCTTCATATATTCTTCAGAAAAAGAAAAAAAAAAAATCAATAAAGAGCGCAATCATGACTCTGATAAGTCTGTGCTGAAAATACAGTCCACCATGTGCTTTACTAGAAGAAACAGCAATGTGTCAATGTGGAGGCGTAAGTTAGAGATGAGCTCTTTATTTTAGAGTTGGAAGTGAAATGCATACTGCAGAAAAGTGAAGGTCAGCACACTTACATCACAGTCTCATATTCTGTACTGTCTTTGTCATCCTTCTTGTCTGGCACCTCAATTGGAGACTGGTGCTTCTGAACTATCCTCATGCCTCCTGCTTTCACTGCCAAAAAACAACAACAAAAACAACAGTTTATCTTCTGACACTGGTGGTAAATGAGATTGCTTTCATTATATACTGACATATAAATCACAAGCGGCCGTTTAGTGCGCAATCTTATGCTATCTTTTGTCCCTTGGCCTACTTTTAGGGAGATTACACACAGGTCGTTATCTGATTTCTTGTGAACTTTACACTGCACTGACATATGCTGACAAAGTGAAATACAACATGAAGAACAAAATAAGTGGATAAAAAAAATATATAGCGTGTCACATAATCTTCAACATATATTGTCTGCTGGAAACAAATGACTAGTGCAACATGCAACATTTTCCATTAGTTGAATCCTGCTCAAGTAGGGACATTCCCTTTGCCTTTCACATCCCTCGTGAATGTGTACACAACAAAATCCAGTCAACAACTTTTATTATATGCATTTTTCTTGACACGTTAGCCACAAAATCAGTGGCTTTATTCTATTTTTGTTAAATGTAATTGTTGGAGAACCTCAATCCATGTTTCCAAACTTTACTTTACTCTTAACTTTTAATTCTTCCATCCACAGTGTTTTTCAGCCAATGACAAACTTCAATTAAAGATTAATGTGACTATTTTCATTTACATAAGGTTTCTTTTACAGCCTCGATGCTGTAATGCAATTAAAATACATTCAGTTAAACAGACTTAAGCATTCATTTAGTTGTTCAAGCGTAAAACAAGAAAGACGGTGTAACTGCTAGCGCCGTCAGGATCAGCAGGTGAGCACAGAAACTCCATTGAATATACTAGGGGTAAAATAAAAGTTCATATTTAAAAGACATGGTGGGGGAAAGGGAATTTAATGCAGTGCTTCTTGTCCCGTCTCAGACCCATTTTATATCATATTGCTCTCTCAGGCAGTGAAGATAATTGATTTTTAAAGGAATCAGACCTTAAACGTGGCATTTTTTTCATGGAAAGACTGTTCACCGGAAGCGCTGAGGTTGGCTGGACAAAATTAAAAGTCTGTGTGCATATACCCCAGTGGAAATGATGCACATTTAAACAAAATTTATAAACATACAGGACTGCATACCATACATAAAAATTATATGTTTATGTGATAATACTTTGCCAGTACATATTTGCCCACAGCAAAAATAAAAAAGCTAAAAAATTCCATAACACTTCAGTGTTTGCATCAAATTAAACTAACAAAGGTGATTGTATGCACACAGAGTTCATACTAAATGCAAGTGCCTGCTCTAAAATTAAAAAAAACGTGTAATTATTTTTTATTATCATTCAGATCAACATTTACATTTATTTGAAAAATTAATGAAGATACTGACATGAACTTATTAAGATACATTTAAGATATAGGAATCACTATAAGCTTATATTATATTTGAAATGATTTAAACATTTTGATGACAAATCTGCTAAATTTATTATTAAATGACTATATTAGTACTTTATTAGTGATTAGTACTTGGGTAATATCATTAAAGCTCTGCGTAGACAACATATACAATTATTTTAATCACTTTGAACAGTGTTTTATGAAAATTCAAAGGGGTTTCTTTAAAATGATACCAGACTTTTGCATTTATACCTCTGCATGTGGATTTGGGAAGCTTTTAAATTTGGGTAGGCAAAATCCTGGCGAAAACCACAAAATAGCACTTGACTTTAAGAGGTTTTAATATGATTAATAACCAATTATAATTAAAAGAATTAGTAATTCAGCAATTGGGGCTGCACAATTATCTTTTTTAAAAGTCATTTAATAATTTTCGTTATAAATTTGCCTGACAATTTTGACATTGTTATTTTAAATGACCTTTTAGTTGGCATCTTCTATAAATCTTGGTAAACAATTATAATTGTTACTCTTTGCTCATTAAAACCCAGAAAACTAAATATATACATATACAAAAGACACTGGAATAATTCAAAATAAAAGTACTTCCTTAATTTTAAATTAGTATTCGTTTTGAAATCTTGAAAACAACATTAGCACTATTTATTTGACTGTGAACAATGTTGTACTTTCATAGTCATTGGCTGCTAATATGATTTCATTTTAGAGTTAAGCAAAGAATATCTTCCTGAAATTATAATATCAAAGAGCACGTCAGAATGTGTGAATATAACACCAACTTTACCTCAATCTCTTTCCAGAGTAAAAACTGCATTAAAAACATTTGGAATGCGTCTTCATAACCCTGAGCACGAGACTAAATAACCCCTTAACCATGTGACTTTTGCCCAGCAAATGTCTCATAATAATTTGCTTACATACAAGCATATATGGCACAATACACGTTAATAACAAATTTTAAACAATGCATACAATCTGTACAAATTTTATTTTTTAAAAGTAATATTTTCCGAATCAAAAAGGTGCCATTTAGTGTAATGATTGACTAACGTTAGGCTTTCCTACAGAAAACAACAACAGAAGCAGCAGATGCAGTAGCTCATGGGCATTACCAGCAGGAAGGTGACCAGCTCTGGTCTCGGTTTTCTCTTTGGGCGGCGATGACATGGCTGCTGTCAAGCGCTTCTTCCAAAGAGTCGCGTCGTTGTCTTCTAAATAAAAAAACAATCCTTCAGTTTCCTGGCAGAAAAATAACGCAGACTACCGTCGACTTCGTCAACGTGGCTTTTTCCTGCCCATTGTTTGGCAACGGTGCGTGATGACGCTAGGATTCGACTGCAGCCAATAAGAGCGTGTGTCCAGGAAGGATGTTCCTCCTCCTTCCTATGGGAAGTCAAATGGAACACACAAGGAGAAAGAAATAATAAAAAGCCTGCCTGCGTTTCTTCGAAAGAAAAGATTGCCTAATAAATTATGAACAGCTGATGGAGAAAGCTAAGTATTTCGAAAGATATCCAGATACTATTGTTACTCTTTTGTTCATTTAAAAGTTGAAATGACAAAAAGTGAAATAAAGCTGTTAAATTGTTAGTAGTGAATCACCCCTAAAGAAAGAAAGAAAGTACTTTTAACGTTTAATATTTTCAATTTGTCATGCAAAATATTACTAGCATTGAAGAATGTCAATGCTCTCTTGGTTAAAAGTCAAAAAGGCTAAAAATGTCAGTTAAAAAAAGTTGTTTCCAGTTTTTTTTCCTATGTCGAACACAAAAAAAAATTTTTAGAAATACTGGTACCCAAAAGCCTCCATGGTTTGGGAAAATATAGAAGTCAGTGGTTGCCATTTAACTACCATTTTTCAAAATATCATCTTTTGTGTTCAATAGAAGAAACTCAAACAGGTATTAACAAATGAAGGGTGAGTAAATTATGGCAGAATTTTCATTTTTGGGTGAATGTCCCTTTAAATCACATCTGACAGCTTCACCTAGTGATTTTCTTTATCAATAGGAATCTTTAGTGTCCTTCATTAAAAATCAATATAGTTAAAATTCAATTACTTGTTTATATTTGTTTAAGTAAATCAACAGCTCATTTTATTGACAAAGTGTGACCCTGTGTTTGTTAACGAGGGCACTACCTTTGACCCAATCTAAAAATCAATTTAGTGTTACACCTCAAAATCCTGCGTTTTCAAATGAGATTAGCAGATGTTTCAGAATAATGACATATTGTGTTAGGACAGTGCATGTAGAGATATTTGGTTAAATTTAATGGATGGATTGCATTAAATCCATTTGCAAATCACTACACATGCTAGACAATTTGTGGTGGTACTAAAACATACTGTTCTCATCAAAAAGACTTCAAAAGCAGGATATTCTGAAGAAAAAAATATTAATTGTAAAAGTCAGTGATAATATTTACACATTGTGGTAGATAAAATCATGCCAGTCTTGCACAAGCACGTGTCACAACATGATGCTTACCCAGTAAACGTTTAGAAACTCAGAAATGAGGTAACCCTCACATATTTAATATTATTTATGTCATTTACTCTACCTCCATTTGTTTCAAACCTGAGATTTTGAAAAATGTTGGAAAGCAGCAGCCACTACTATGGATTCATGTCAATGGCTGCTGGTTTTCAATATTCTTCTTAACATCTTGTTTTGTGTAAAGAAAAATTAAACATTCATAAAAGTGTAGAACCACTTAAGTGTAGGTAAATGGTAAGGAATATATATATATATATATATATATATATATATATATATATATATATATATATATATATATATATATATATATTATGTAAACTATCTCTTTAAGGGCCAAGGTTTGGCATGATGCTTTTTAAATCAGATGCTGCAACAGAAATTCTTAGCATGGTTTCTGTCAGTAAATGAAGTCCTGTTTTTTCACAAAGTTCATCCATTTTTCTTAAAAAAGAAATCAGATGTGTGTCCTATTGCACTCTCAGTGCTGTTGAATTGTTTTGATGAATTTACTCTGAGGTGAATCATGACCACTAGAGGGGAGACTAATACTTTAATAAATGACAGGAGTCTTCATTTTGAAAAAGCCATTCAGCGGCATGGAATGGCACTTTTTAGCAGGCCAATAAAATAAAATAAAAATTATAAACATAATTGTATTAATAATAATCATAAACAAATAATAAATGCAAGAACAATCATAAATATAATTGTATTAATAATAATAATAATAATAATATTTTTCAAATGTTGCTTAACAGAGTTCAACACATTTTAAACATACTGATTTTAATAACTAATTTCTTATAAATAATTCCTTTTGACTTTGGAATGGTGACAGTGCAAAATATTTTTCTTGCATTTATATCTTATTTTGCAAGATACTAGTATTCAGATTACAGTCTTATTTAAACAGGAAGGTATTAGGTGAACTAAACAAGTTAATTAGTCAAGTTATTGGATAACAGTAGTTTGTTCTGTAGACAAATGAATTAAAAACGTGAAAACTGCTTTTAATCTAGCCAAATTAAAAGAAATAAGACTTTCTCCAGATGAAAACAAGATTTATAGAAAAAACTGTGAAAATGTCCTTGGTCTGTCAAACATCAATTGGAAAATATTTGAAAAAGAATAAGGAGGAACAATAATTTTGACAATTAAAGTAGATATAAAATCCATAGGTTGATGAGCAGCAGTTTTCAAAGAAACCAGTGCTGATAATGTGTGACCGTGTCAATAATCTTTGTGATGTTCACAGTGGGCTTCATGTGCATCATGGTAAAACGGATTATGTAAACATTAGCTTGCATGCTCTAATAATCAGACCTTTAATGATTATGCCTACTTTACATTTCAAACCTCCCCCCACTTCTACAATTTCACATATTATCAGGACAACTATGTCCATTTTATCACCCTTTTCTAATTACAATAATGACTTTGGTAAGTCCTTCATTAGGCTGTTTAAATGATTCTCATTAATGAAATAAAATTAATATTTAGCATTTTTATGTATAAAACAGAGCATTTGTAATTTATTAATTCATTCACTAATTTTTTTTTGGGTTAGTCCCTCTATTAATCTGGAGTCACCACAGCAGAATGAACCACCAACTGACCCAGCTGAGGCTCGAGCCAGTGACCTTCTTGCTGTGAGGTGATTGTTTTACCCACTGTACCGCCATGCAGCCACGACTTATTGATGTAAAATAAAATAAAACAGTTTAACATAGTATATAATAAATTATTTAATTTATACATTACCATTTTTTGTGCAGGGGCGGCGCGGTGGGTAATGCTGTCACCTCACAGCAAGAGGGTTGCTGGTTCAAACCACGGCTGGGTCAGTTGGTATTTCTGTGTGGAGTTTGCATGTTCTCCCACTGTTTGCATGGATTTCCTCTGGGTGTTCCGGTTTCCCCCACAGTCCAAAGACATTCGCTATAGGTGAATTGGATAAGCTAAATTAGCAGTAGTGTATGTGTGTGAATGAGTGTGTGGGTGTTTCCCAGTGATGGGTTGCAGCTGGAAGGGCATCCGCTGCGTAAAACATATGCTGGAGAAGTTGGTGGTTCATTCTGCTGTGGTTACCCTTGATTAATAAAGGGACTAAGCTGAAAATTAATGAATGAAGGATTTTTTGTGCATTTGAATACATTCATTTATTCATTCAGCTCAGTCTCTTATTTATCAGGGGTCGCCAAAGCAGAATGAACTATTCCAGCATATATCATAAGGACATCCACTACATAAAACGTAGTGGATGTCCTTCCAGCTGTAACCCAGTCCTGGAAAACACCCATACACTCACAATTCCAATTCACCTATAGCGCATGTCAGAACCGGAGCACCACGTGAACATGGGGAGAACATGCAAACTCCACACTGAAATGCTAACTGACCCACCCAGGGCTCGAACCAGTGACCTTCTTGCAGTGAGGCAACAGTGCTAAGCACTGAGCCATCGTGCCGCACCCTTAAATAAATACAAATATTATAAATGTAGCTTTACTGTAGCTTTTGTTAAACGACTTTTACTTTTTTCAACATAACATTTTCAATTTTGAGACTTTTTATCCAGTAATTATTTGTGGAGAAAGAAAAACCTAATTAAAATAATTATGCCTCATGTGTTATAATATATAATTCCAACACAAGAAAGTTACACAAGCTACAGAATTGTTTAAATATGACTTAAATTGACATAAAGGTTTGTCATTCATATGCTTATTGTCAGACTGCACAGGGAAGATAAATATTGGATTTAAGTATTATTTGGTGTGTTTATGCACAAGATGAACAGAGCATCATAAATTATTATTTAATGTTTTGGTATGTTGATATTTACAGGAGTTTCTTTTGATGGTTTTGTAGAGTAACTATTGTGGTAGAGCATGTGGTTAGGTTGAGAATGCAGGGCTGCAAAACTTTAAGACTACACATTTAAAAAATCTGAAATAATATGACGTTTATGTAAATAAACTGTATATAATTAACATGACTGAGGCAGAGTTAACTTAAAATTGTACTAAATTCAACAATAGTATCTGGATGCAGCCTTGATGCAAGCTGTGATTGCATATATCAGATATGCTATGTTAGACACAATGAACTCAATGAAGCTAGTGAAATCCCTGTGAGGGGTAGGGTTAAGGTGTGTGTGGGCATTAAAATGCATTGCATGCAGATTAGAATGCCCTGCACCAGATCCACAGCCAGACCCCTCACACATTAAAAGCTAGTTTACGTATAAAGGTCCCCTGAAGTGTCTTGAAACATTAATTGTTTTGGCATAATTTGAAACAGGATGACAAGAGCGGGACAAGTTGACTAGCTCCTCCTCTTTTAAAAGCAGCCAATACCATTTCCTTTGTATCATAGAGCCTTTGAGGCTTGCAAAGATGCACATGACAACTTATTATGATGGAAAGTATATCTACACAGACTAAAAAGTTTATCGCCTACATAGTATATTCTATACAGTGTAAATACATACTACTAAGAGAGCTTTTGAGGTTATTTAAAGTGTTAAGCGTGATACTTCAGATTATAGAGCATTTGATTGGACAGAAAATCAAAAATTAAAATCACAGAAAGAGTGTACGTTTTACATATATTTTCTTGATGTGCCACAGCCATGTCACCCTGCAGCCCAAGACCTGTTACTCACTGAAGCTAAACAGAGCTGAGCCTAGTCAGTGCCTGGATGGGAGGCCACATGGGAAAACTAGGTTGCTGTTGGCAGTGGTGCTAGAGTGGCCAGCAGGGGGCGCTCAACCTGTGGTCTGTGTG